AATAAAAAGCTATAAACTTACCCTGAAGAATGTCTGTACCAAATGACATAATTAAAATGTCTCAAGTTTTCCTTTTCTTCCTAAAATGTTTTTACTCCATACTGGTGTGCTGGAACTTGATTTTTTGTTGTGCCGGTACCATTTCTTAGCAATGTGGTCCTAAAGAGGAACAGCGTGCATACGTGGATGGGCATTGGAGGTCGTGTAGCCCATCAGAAAAATTCTCCAGGCATCCTCTGTGGGCCAGAAGCTGAGAACTGTACACTTATTTCTCTGTAGCACTTAGGAATGTATTTTGGTGCCTTCAAACAGTCACCTTTCATTTAATAAGCCTTTCCTTTGGAACATTTTCTAAAGATAGATAAAATGAAGGCCTGGGCGCCCCCCCCCCCATGTGGTTTACAGTCTATAATCTTTTCCTAATGCACCAGATAAAAGATTACTTCCTCTGTGTGTGATTTGGTGGGAGTGGGAAGCATTGTATTAATAGTCCAAGAAATAGAAGAGAAATATATTTTCAAGAAAACTAGTAAAGCTGTTAAAAAAAACACACACACACACACACAAAAAACCAACCTTCTAAAGCCTCATAGGGGAGAAGGCCTGAATATCGTGGAAAGGGGCGGGGCGGCTGGAGGGTGGGGCTTTATCTGGTAGGAGGAGGCAGACTCTGCCACAAGCTGAGGACAACGGCAGGTGATGTTGGATCATTGTGAAAGGTGATGCACACTGCAGCCTGGACGTGGCGCCTCGGAGGCTGCTTACAGATGATTCTCTGTTTCTGAAAACAGGTACCTGGACCTGCGTCGCTTTGGATCTGTGCCTCATGGAGGTTTCGGGATGGGCTTTGAGCGCTACCTGCAGTGCATCTTGGGAGTCGACAATATCAAAGATGTCATCCCCTTTCCAAGATTCACTCATTCATGTCTTTTATAACTGACAGTTGGTTATATTTAGCGTAGTGCCCTGTGACAGAGGCACTACACATAGATATGACTTTCAAACTGCTGTTGTGAATTTGAGAGATGTGGAATTTTGTATAATTATTCCGCCATAAGATATAATGTATATGAAAAGTAAAAATGATCACAATTTTCTGATAAAACCAAGGGTGTTGTGTGGAAAAGTGGTCTCCCACTGGAAGAGGTGCTTAGTGCAGATAGACTTTCTTTTTTTTTTTTTTTTTTTTTGTATTTTAGGGAAGGATCTACAGGATGTACAGGGTCTCACTACTAGATCGGACTCCTAGTGATTCTCCTGTTTACAGTCTCCCAAGAGCTGGGATTATAGGCACGTACCACCACGCCCAGTGTCAATCGCCCCTTGCCCCAGAGCCAGGACCAGCACGGCAGGCCTGGGATCGAAGCCCTGGCCCTTGCGCCTGCTTGCAGGTGCTTTGATCCGCCGAGCTATTTGGCAGGCCCCTGCAAGTGGACTTTCAGATCCATTACTTTAGTTAGGAAGAAAGGCAGCGACCAAGACTGCAGGCCAGCTCCTTGGGACTGCGGCAGCACCGGATGAGCCTGGAAGGAAGCCTGAACAACAGAGCAACACCTCACCTCAAAAAAGAGAAGGAACTGAACCAGATGGGTGGTCTCAAAGGTCTCTTCAGACCCCAGCACAAGATGAAGCCCTGTATTTCACTTCGTCTTTACTCAGTAGATCACTTCCTTCTGTAACTTTTAAAAATCAATAGCTAAAAATAAAATACTGGTACTTTTTATCTCCTTTGCTACTTAACCTGTGGTAAATGTCCATTTTACTCTCAGTGCTTTATTAAACTTAACAGAAGAAAATATTCCTTTCTAGAGTCTTAGTTAATTAAGTTGCTATTCTGAATTGAAGTCATCTTTCATTAGTCTGGGTGAAAAATAGTGAATGGGAAACCAGTCATGGTGGCACACGTCTGTAATCTCAGGAGGCTGAGGAAGGAGGATTGTGAGCTTGAGACCAGCATGAGCTACAGCATGAGCTCAAGGCCAGCCTGAACGGCCTAGCGAGACCTTGTCTGAAAAAGACAAAAAAACAGGAGGTCTGTCTCAAAATTTAAGTTTTAGAGAATTGGCTGGTGAATAGCCTTTATGTTAGTATCATTGTTTTTTGGTTATTTTATGTCTTTCTTTTTTTAATGTAGACTTCACTGAGTTGATCTTTTGATAATCTGGATAATTTATATAGCTAAAGTTTTAATAAACTTGAAATGAGAAAAAACAGTTAATGAGGTGCAATCATTGTTCCAGTTATTTTATGCTAGATCATTGTAACTTCTCCAATAGTTAATAAAATTTAAAAATAGACCCCTAGGGATAAAGGATATTTGTTGTTTTGTTATCTGCTTGTCTTGCTATGTAGTTCAGGCAGGTTTTGAATTTCCTGAGCGGCCCCAGCTGGCCTGCGACTCAGTGACCCCACAGCCTCCGAGTGTTGAGATTGCAGGTGTGCGCCAACACACCCGGATGAAAAATTGCTTAGAAAATTTTCTTCATCCTTTCTCAGTATAATTTGGAAAAAGACATCTCTAAGCTAAGATGGAAATGGCAGTGTGGCTAAGCCAAAGAATAAGTCTGGAGTCCAAATTGCATGGCTTACTAGAGAGAGATCTGGAGTCCGAGTCAGGTGACAGTTTGGTGTTTTGGACAGTCTTCCTTTTCTCTCTAAGCTCACAGTATTCATATAGTGATTACATGAAGAGTGTGTGTGTGTGTGTGTGTGTGTGTGTGTGTTGTAAACTCATGCTGGGGCCAAGCACAGTGATATGTGCTTCTAATCCCAGCTGCTCAGAAGAGGAGGATCACAAGTTCAAGACCAGCCTGAACGCCTTGAAGAGACCCCATTTGAAAATAAAAACTATATGGGGGCCTGCCCCTTAGCTCAGTCGTTTAAGTGGCTGCTTCAACAAAGCAGTCAGGCTCAGGTTGCTGTGGTTCGATCCCCACAACTCAAGCAGCCAAACCTGCCCTGAAGGCATTCGGAGCAAAAAAAGAAAAAAAAAACTATAAAAAGGACTAGGGATGTAGCTTAGTTGTAGGGTATTTGTCAGTATTCTAGTGAGCATTGCTGCGTACAGTGCCCATTGCCCAAGTCTCCAGGGAAGAGAGGTGCGACTGGCTTGTGATTCCATTGCTTCCTCGGCTGGCTCCAAGGATGGGAGTGCGTGGTAAAAGGCCGTGGTGCAGCAGTGCTGCCCAGTCTGTGGTGGCCAGGAGGCAAAGCAGGCAACAGTGCGGGGAGGAAGGGCTGAAAGGCCGGACAAACACCCCACAGCCATGCCGCCCAGTCCGCCAGGCACCCCTGGAAGTGTTCACCGCAAAACTGGGGGCAGATCCCAAAGCCAGTAAGGTTGAAACTCCATCCTGAACGTCTGACCTAGCATGCATGAGGCCCTGGACTCAAGGCCCACGACCAGAAGGAAGGGGAGAGCTCTTGGGTCATTTCTTCCTGAGTGTGTACGTATTCCTCTTCTCAGCATAATCTAAAATCAAGCAGCTAACAAGAAATGGACTTTAGAACCTTAGGGTGGGAAGACATCGGAGAGATTGCCAAGGCTGGCCTCCATTCCTTGATGCACTTGACTTTCCAGCAGCCCCGTTTGCAGCCTGTGTGGTGGCCCTGGTCTGAGGTGCTGGTGCACGCACGCGGCACATTGCAGATCACCTCTGCCCCTCGCTTCCCTCCCAGTGCCTTATTCCCTACCCTCCCTCTGACACTTTCTCTTCTTTTTTTTCCTATTGCCTTTTATTTTGCTCTTAATTTATACTCAGAGTTTCTCATAACTTGTGTGTCTGATTTATTTCACTTATTTCCATGGCAGTTGTATTAGTTTCCATTCTCACCAACAAGAAGAGCTCCATTTGGCACAGATCTTCCTCAGCATTTGTTGTCTGGTTTCTTGACAGTTAACCATTTTTCTCCATAAGATAGAGTCCGTGATGCTTTAATTTGCATTTCTCAATAACCAGCTAAGTTTTTTGTGTATTCTAGGTATTACTCTTTCATCCAATGAATGCTGACAAAATTTCTGTCCTAGAGCTTGCCTCTTCACTTTTGTTTCCTTTGCTGCATGAAAACTTTTTGGTAGGACCCATTTGTTGGTTCTTGCACAGTTGGAGTTTGTTCAGAAAGTGGTCACATATGCGTCTCTTCAAGAGTTGTGCATATTTTATCTCCCAGCAAATAAGGTATTTCCTTTTTAATATTCAGATTTTTGATCCACTTTGGAGTCTAAATTCAGTTTGCTTGTGGATAGCCACTTCTCCCAGCACCATTCACAAAGAGGGTCTCTTTCCTTCAGTGTAAGTTTTGTCCCCTTTGTCAAAGGTCAGGTAACTGAATGTGCTTGAAATTGTTTCTGCAAATCTTGTAATTTGTTCCATTGATTGACATGTCTTCTTTCCCATTACCGTGCTGCTTGTTTTGCCCACTGTACTTTGTGGTATAATTTGAAGTCTAGGATTATGAGTCCTTCTGCCTTGTTCTTGTTGCCCAGGTTTGTTTTTCATATTCTAGGTCTCTTCTAGTTCCATATGAATTTTAATATTGTGTTCTCTAGTTCTGTGAAGAATTATGTTGGTATTCTGATAGGAAGTGCATTAAATCTGTATGTCATTTTTGGAAGTATGAACATTTTGACTATATTGTTTTGCCTATCCAGGAATGGGATGTTTTTCCATTTTCTGATGTTCTCTTCAATCTACCTTTTCACGGTGTTGTAGTTTGCATATAGCAGTCTTTCACTTGGTTAGGTTAATTCCTAGACATTTAACTTTCCCTATAGCTATCGTGAATGTTTTTTTTTTCCTAATTTCTTTCTCCATGAATTTGTTATTGGTATGCAAAATGTTAGATTTTTTGTGGGTTGACTTCGTACCTGTTTACTGAATTTTGCTACAAGGTCTAGGGGTCTTTTGGTGGATTTCGAGGTCTTCCATGTAGAGGATCATGTCATCTGCAAATAATAATAATTTCACTTCTTTCCTATACAGATCCTTTTTATTTCTTTCTCTTCCTTGGTTGATGTAGCTAATTTTTGAAGAAATACATTGAACAGTAGTAGTAACAGTAGACATCTTTGTCTTCCTGCAGATTTTAAAGGGAAAGCTTTCAGCATATCCCCAGGCAATTTATTGGTCATGGCCAATTGGGGCTCTGTATGCCTCACTTAACTGTCAAATTCTTTTTCTCTGCCAGGGAAGTTTTATGCCATGATGGCTGAGCAATATAGATAGATAGATAGATAGATAGATAGATAGATAGATAGATAGATAGATAGATAATTGTGCTATCCTGCTTTTTCATTGACTCCAGTCAATCTTTTATTCTTCTTTACATCATCTAGCGACTCTTGTATTGATTCTTGTGGTTTCTTGCTATTTTTATTTTTATTTGTTGTGGTACCAGGGATCAAACTCAGACTCTTGCACTTGCTAGGCAGTCCCTTGCCATTTTTAGGAAATCTTTCTTTTTGTGAATGCTAGCTGCAAGCCTGTCTGCTATGTCTGAAATCCTGTCCTCACATTGGCTTAGGTGCTATGCATATTTTCAATAGAAGTTTTATTCTCCTGCATATCTGCTTGAATCTGCCTTGTGGATTTCATTTCTTTCCTAACATTCATGCCTTCCATAATTTACTTAAGCTCATCCGTTTTCTTGTCTGCAGTGGGCACCATCCTTGCAGTTATCTGAGAAATTATTTCTGACTTGATTTTTCCCGAGCCTCATTCAGTTGCTCACTGCAGAGAGGCCACGTGGGTGGCTTGCAGAGTGCCTGCTGGGTTTGCCTTTTTGATGTTTATGGTTGCATCTTGTTTAAGTGTCTCCTCATTTTCTTTCCTTTTTCATTTTTTCTTTTCTTGTTTTAATTTAATTCCTACGGTGGTTTGTAACAGCTGTTTAAAACAGCTATGTCACCTTTGGCTATAGTGGTACCAATTACAGTAACAAAACACAACCTAGAAAATGACAAACTAACCATAAATTTGCCACCTTTAAGTGTAGGCACTAGATTTGTGGTTATCCAGCAAAATCACCACAAAATTGTATTGTACACAGTATACAAGTGTGTCAATTTTGCCCTCAGGGGTTAACATTTAAAATAGGTTAGAGAGAAAATAGAGAAGTGGCAGAAGAGGGAGAGATCCGAAGGCCGGAGGACAGAGTGGGACCACACTAACTTGGGGAATCTGGT